CCTAGGCTGCAAGGTTGGTTCAACATCTGCAAATCAATCAATGTGATACAGTACATTAATAAAAGAAAGAACAAGAATGGTATGATACTCTCAATAGATGCAGAAAGCATTTGACAAAGTACAGCATCCTTTCTTGATTCAAACTCTTCACAGTGTAGGGATAGAAGGTGTATACCTCAACATCATAAAAGCCATTTATGAAAAAATCCACAGCAAATATCATTCTCAATGGGGAAAAACTGAGACCTTTTCCCCTAAGGTCAGGAACACAGCAGGGATGTCCACTATCACCATGGCTACTCAACATAGTACTAGAAGTCGTAGCCTCAGCAATCAGACAACAAAAAGAAATAAAATGCATCCGAATTGGCAAAGACGAAGTCAAACTCTCACTCTTTGCAGATATGATATTTATGTGGAAAACCCAAAACAGTTCACCCCAAAACAGCTAGAACACATACAGGAATTCAGTAAAGTGGCAGGATATAAAATCAATGCACAAAAATCAGTTGCATTTCTATACACCAACAATGAGACAGAAGAAAGAGAAATTAAGGACTCAATCCCATTTACAATTGCACCCCAAACCATAAGATACCTAGGAATAAATCTAACCAAAGATGCAAAAAAATCTGTACTCAGAAAACTATAGAATACTCATGAAAGAAATTGAGGAGGGCACAAAGAAATGGAAAATGTTTCATTCTCATGGATTGCAAGAAAAATATTGTGAACATGTCTATACCACCTAGAGCAATCTACAGTTGTAATGCAATTCCTATCAAATACCATTAAATTTTTACAAAGAAATGGAACAAATAATCCTGAAGTTTATATGGAACCAGAAGTGACCCCGAATAGCCAGAGGAATGTTGAAAAAAAAAAAAAAAAGCAAAGCTGCTGGCATTGCAATTCCGTACTTCAAGCTGTATTACAAAGCTGTAATCATCAAGAAAGTATGGCACTGGCACAAAATCAGACACATAGATCAATGGAACAGAATAGAGAGCCCAGAAATGGACCCTCAACTCTATGGTCAACTAATCTTTGACAAAGCAGGAAAGAATGTCCAATGGAAAACAGTCTCTTCAACAAATGGTATTGGGGAAATTGGACCGCCACATGCAGAAGAATGAAACTGGACCATTTCCTCACACCACACACAAAAATAGACTCAAAATGGATGAAAGACCTCAATGTAAGACAGGAATCCATCAAAATCCTCGAGGAAAACACAGGCACCAACCTCTTCCCCCTCAGCCGCAGCAACTTCTTCCTAGACACATTGCCAAAGGCAAGGGAAGCAAGGGCAAAAATGAACTATTGGGACTTCATCAAGTTAAAAAGCTTTTGCACAGCAAAGGAAACAGTCCACAAAACCAAAAGACAACTGACAAAATGGGAGAAGATATTTGCAAATGGCATATCAGTTAAAGGGCTAGTATCCAAAATCTATAAAGAACTTATCAAACTCAACACCCAAAGAACAAAGAATCCAATCAAGAAATGGGCAGAAGACATGAACAGACATTTCTGCCAAGAAGGCATTCAAATGTCCAACAGACACATGAAAATGTGTTTAACATCACTCGGCATCAGGGAAATTCAAATAAAATCCTGAATGAAATATCACCTCACACCAGTCAGAATGGCTAAAATTAACAAGTCAGGAAAGGACAGATATTGGTGGAGATGTGGAGAAAGGGGAACCCTCCTCCACTGTTGGTGGGAATGCAAGCTGGTGCAGCCACTCTGGAAAACAGTATGGAGGTTCCTCAAAAAGTTGAAAATAGAGCTATCCCATGACTCGGGAATTGCTGTACTGGATATTTACCCCAAATATACAAATGTAGTGATCGTAAGGGGCATGTGAACCCTAGTGTTTATAGCAGCAATGTCCACAATAGCCAAACTATGGAAGAGCCTAGATGTCCATCAACAGATGAATGGATAAAGATGTGATTGATACACACACACACACACACACACACTGGAATATTATGCAGCCATCAAAGAAATGAAATCTTGCTATTTGCAATGACAAGGATGGAACTAGAGGGCATTATACTAAGCGAAATAAGTCAATCTGAGAAAGACAATTATCATATGATCTCACTGATATGAGGAATTTGAGAAACAAGACAGAGGATCATAGGGGAAGCAAGGGAAAAATGAAAGAAGACGAGACCAGAGAGGGAGACAAACCCTAAGAGACTCCTAATCTCAGGAAACAAACTGAGCATTGCTGGAGTAGATGGGTGTGGGAGGGATAAGGTGGCTGGGTGATGGGCATTGGGGGGGTATATGCTATGGTGAGCACTGTGAATTGTGTAAAACTGATGAATCACAGACCTGTACCCCTGAAACAAATAATACATTATATTTTAATTTTAAAAATGAATGGACAGAGGGCTTCCATAACAGTTTCCAAAGAAGACATATGATAAACAGGCACATGAAAAGATGTTCCGCATCACTAATCATCAGGGAAATGAAAATCAAAACAAAAAGGGATATCTCCTCACACTTGACAAAATGGCTGTTTTCAAAAATATAAAAAATAACAAGTGTTGGTGAGGTTGTGAAAAAAGAGAACACTCATTTTCTGTTGATGGGAGTGTAAATTGGTGCAGCCACTTTGGAAAATAGTATGGAGATTCCTATAAATTTTAAAATTAGAACTACCATATGAGGGGCGCCTGGGTGGCTCAGTTGGTTAAGCGACTGCCTTCGGCTCAGGTCATGATCCTGGAGTCCCGGGATCGAGTCCCACATCGGGCTTCCTGCTCAGCAAGGAGTCTGCCTCTCCCTCTGACCCTCCCCTCTCTCATGCTCTCTGTCTCTCATTCTCTCTCTCTCAAATAAATAAAAATCTTCAAAAAAAAAAAAAAGAACTACCATATGATCCAGGAATTCCACTTATGGGTATATATCAAGAAAGGAAAATATCAGTTTGAAGAGATGTAGATACATCTATGTTTTTTGCAGCACTAATCCCCTTTACCTATTTTTCCTGCCACACAACCCTTCCCCATTTGGTAACTAACACTTTGTTTCCTTTACCTATGAGGCTGTTTTTAGTTTGTTTTATTTACACATTATTTTTTAGATTCTACACATACGTGAAATTATATGGTATTTGTTTTTTCTGACTTATTTCACTTAACATAATACTTCCTATATCCATCCATATTCTCACAAATATAATATTATATATTTTATGCCTGAGTAGTATTCCATTTTATTGTATACCACATTTTCTTTATCCATTCATTTATCGATGAACACTAACATATTAAACAGTTAAATATAAGACCTGAAACCATGAAACGCCTAAAAGAAAACATATGAAAAAAGCTTTTGGACATAGGTGTTAGTGATGATTTTTTTTTTTTTGAAATCACACCTAAAGCACAATCAACAAAATAAAAAAATAAACAAGTGGGACTATATCAAACTAAAAAGCTGTGTCCAGCAAAAGAAACCATCAACAAAGTGAATAGACAACCTATGGAATGGGAAGAAGTATTTGCAAATCATATATATAATAAGAGGCTAATACACAGAGTATATAAAGAACTAATACAACTCAATAGCAATAAAAAATTAAATAATGATAATAATAATATAAATATTAGGCAAGCAGTACCCTGATACCAAAACCAGATAAAGACACCACTAAAAATGAGAACTACAGCCCAATATCCCAGATACACACAGATGGAAAATTTATCAATAAAATACTAGCAAACCAAATCCAACAATACATTAAAAGTATCATTCACCACAATAAAGTGGGATTCATTCCTGGGTTGCAAGTGTGGCTCAATATTTGCAAATCAATCAACATGACGCACCACATAAATAAAAGATAAGAACCATATGATCATTTCAATAGAGGCAGAAAAAGCATTTGACAAAAAAACAACATACATTCATGATAAAAATGCTCAACAAAGTAGTGTTAGAGGGACTATACCTCAACTTAATAAAGGCCATATGTGAAATAGCCACAGCTAACATTATCCTAAATGGGGAACAACTGAGATCTTTTCCTTTATGGTCGGGAATAAGACAGAGATATCCATTCTCTCCACTGTTATTTAACATAATACTGAAAGTCCTAACCACAGCAATCAGACAACAAAAAGAAATAAAAGGCATTGAAATCAATAAAGAAGTCAAACTTTCACTATTTGCACATGACATGATACTCTATATAGAAAACCCAAAACACTACACCAAAAAATCTGCTGGAATTGGTAAATGAAATCATTAAAGTCACAGGATAAAAAATCAATGGACAGAAATCTCTTGCATTTCTATACACCAATAATGAAGCAGCAGAAAGAGAAATTAAGGAATCACTTCCATTTACAATTGCACCAAAAGCCATACAATACCTAGAAATAAACATAACCAAAGAGGTGAAAGACTGTACTCTGAAAACTGTAAAACATGGATAAGAGAAATTGAAGACAACACAAAGAAATGCAAACACATTCCATACTCATTGATTGGAAAAACAAATATTGCTATAATGTCTATACTATCCAAAGTAATTTACACACTTAGTGCAATCCCTCTCAAAATACCACCAGCATTTTCACAGGGCTAGACTAAACAATCATAAATTTGTATGGAACCAAAAAATACCCAGAATAGATAAAGCAACCTTGAAAAATAAAAGCAAAGCTGAAGGCATCACAATTCCTGATTTCAAGTTACATTGCAAAGTTGTAGTGATCAAGACAGTGTAGTAATGCCACAAAAGTAGACACATAGATCAGTGGAACCAAACAGAAAACCTAGAAATAAACCTACAACTTTATGGTCAATTAATCTTTGACAAAGCAGGAAAGAATATCCAATCAGAAAAGGACAGTCTCCTCAACAAATAGTGTTGGGAAAACTGGACAACAACATGCAAAAGAATGAAGCTTGATCGCCTTCTTATACCATTCACAAAAATAAATTCAAAATAGATCAAAGACCTAAACATGAGACCTGAAACCATAAGAATCCTAGAAGAGAATACAGGGAGTAACTTCTTTGATATCAGCAGTAGCAACTTCTTTGTGGATAAATCTCTTCAGGCAAGGGAAACAAAAACATAAATAAACTATTGAGACTTCATCAAAATAAAAAGCTTCTGCACAGCCAAAAAAAAGTGGGGGTGCCTGGGTAGCTCAGTTAGTTGAGCGTCCAACTCTTGATTTTGACTCACGTCATGATCTCAGCATTATGAGATCGAGCCCCACATCAGGCTCTGTGCTCAGTGCAGAGTTAGCTTGAGATTTTCTTGGTCCCTCTCCCTCTGCCCCTCCCCCATTCTTTCTCATAAGTAAATAAAATCTTTAAAAATAACACTCAACAAAACTAAACAGCAACTTATGAAATGGGAGAAGATATTTGCAAATGATGTATCTGATAAAGGGTTAGTATCCAAAACAAATAAAGAACTTATACAACTGAACAATCAGAAACCAAATCTTTAGTGCCCTTTATCTTTTCCAAGATTTCATTTTCTTTGCTTCTCTTTCTCTTTCCCCAAAGACATTTACTAAATAAGGATCATTCCTGATATCTATCAAATACATGAATTCATGCTAATCAAAATCTGTGCTGAGTGAAATGATATATTTTGTTTCTTTATCCATTTATACATTAGTAGACACAGACACATTTTGGCTCTTGTAAATAATGTAGCTATAGTGATTCAACCCTTCATTACCACACTAAGTACTCATCACATCAAGTGCACTCCTTAATCCTAATCACCTATTTAACCCATCTCCCCACTCACCTCAATTCTGGCAACCATCAGTTTGTTCTCTATAGTTAAGAGTCCCTATTTTAGATGATTAATAATACAGCCCTTATTAGTCTGCTTTACCTCTTTTTTTTTTTTTTTTTTTAGTTTTTAAGCAGAATATCTAAGTATTGTCTGATACATCCTAATTTAGGAATCAGAAAATGTAACATAATGCATTAAAAACAAAGTATTAAAAATGCCTGTAAAAAGTAAAAAAAAAAATCTGCTTCTTGTTTTGCCTTTCTCTCTTTTTTTCCTCTTTGCTCATTTGTCTTGTTTCTTAAATTCCACATATGACTGAAGTCACATGGTATTTGTCTTTCTCTGACTGACTTATTTCACTTACCATAATACTCTCTAGCTCCATCCAGGTCCTTGCAAATGGGAAGATTTCATTCTTTTTTATGCCCATGTGATATTCCATTTTATACTTGTACCACATCTTCTTTATCCATTCATCAGTTGATGGACTCTTGGGTTGTTTCCATAATTTGGCTATTGTAGATAATGCTGCTATAAACATTATGTGCATGTATTCCTTTCAATTAATATTTTTGTATTCTTTGGGGTAAATACATAGCAGTGCAATTGCTGGATCATAGGGTAGTTCTATTTTTAACTTTTTGAAGAATCTCCATACTGTTTTCCAGAGTGGCTGCACCAGTTTGCATTCCCACCAGCAGTGCATGAGGGTTCCCCTTTCTCCATATCCTCACCAACACTTGTTATTTCTTGTGTTGTTGATTTTAGCCATTCTGACAGATTTGAGGTGATATCTCATTGTAGTTTTGATTTGTATTTCCCTGATGATGTGTGCTATTGAGCATCTTTTCATGTGTCTGTTTGTCATATGGATGATTTCTTTGGAAAAATGTCTCTTCATGTCTTCTGTCCATTTTTAACTGAATTATTTGTTTTTTGGTTGTTCAGTTGTATAAGTTCTTTATTTTGGATTCTAACCCTTTATCAGATATATCATTTGTACTAAAGACAAATTTCAGCAAGAACTGTTTCCCATAGTTCTAGCCCCATACGAAAAGATATTTATTTTGTTTTGTTTTGCTTTATGGTTATTGTTATATTTTCTCTTTAGCTTCCTTGTCCTTTTTTTTTAAATTAAGTTTTAATTTTAATTCCAGTATAGCTAACATATAGTTTTAGGTGTGTGATACAGTGATTCAACAATTCTATACATTAATCAGTGCTCATCATGATAAGTGCACTCTTTAATCCCCATTATCCATTTCATTCATTCTACCCACCTCCCCTCTGTCAACCATCCATTTTTTCTCTATAGTTAAGAGTCTGTTTCTTGGTTTGTCTCTCTTTTTATTCCTTCACTCATTTATTTTGTTTCTCAAATCCCATATATGAGTGAAATCATATGGTATTTATCTTCCTCTGACTGACTGCTTTTGCCTAGCATTATATTCTGGTTTCTCTTCAGACTGTATAAATCTTTTGCCTTTTACTTCTCCTTGTCTTATATTTCTTTCCCTCAAAGGCAGGCCAGGAGCTACTTTTTCCCAAGGCAGTAGAATAAAGTTGTGTCTCCCAATGTCTCTATAATGCATAATTCATTGTTGGTATTTAACAAATATTAAATAGTATCATCACAATAATTCAATGCCTACTGAAATATAATGTTCAGTGAATTAAATGAGGCAGTTACATTCAGCCTAAATGATCTTGAGTAAATTAGAAGCAAGATAAATACAGTCAGAGCAAAGCATGTTTTGACTTTTAAGTACTCCAGTTTTGGATTAATTTGGCTTTCTTTGTACTTGTTAAGCTTCCCATACTTCTATCCTTTTGGCAATAATCCCATATGCTTAAAAAGGAAAGAAAGTCATTATCTATCCTCCTTCGAATTATCTTCTCATAAGCGACCTGAGTCAGCTGTGATTCTCATGTCTTATATATAACAGTGGTTAAGGGAGCTAAGTCAACAGGCAGGTCTAATTCAAGATCCAGGTCTGTCATTTATTACTTGTGTGACCTTAGATATAAATTGTATATTTTCTCTGCGTTTCCATTTCTTCACCTACAAAACAGAGATATGGTATCATCTACTTCATAGATCATTGTGAAAATTAAGAATATCACAAATACAATGAAATGTTAGATAATTGATACTTCTAATGATTTTTATGGTCTAATTAAGTATCAAAAGTGGCTGGCAAAGATGTTGGCAACATGATGAAAATAATTCCACGTGTGTTACTATCTACTGGCCTTAACCTTAATCAGGCAGCTTGATCTGCTCCTCCGTGGTTGTACAATTAGCATTTCCCAGAAACATTCCAAAAAGTACTCCCACACACACTCTTATGTACTTCACATATCCCTAGATAAACATACTTCAATGACTCCAAATAAAACATCAGCATTTATATCCAGACTTTTCATCCTTTCATCTGCTCATTAAACATTAGATAGATCCTACTATGTGTCAAACATTTTGTTAGGCTCTTGAAATAAATAATTATTTATATATAGTTTGTGAACTCAAGTAGTTCATAGTCTGATAAGTAATATTAAAAACAACATTATGGTGGTGATCATACTGCAGTATGTAAGTGTATGTAAGTATTAAACAACACATTATATACCTTAAACTTATTCAATGTTCTATGTCAATTTGTCAATTTTATCTCAATAAGTTGGAGAAAACAATAAACATAACTGGAATTTATTAAGTTCTTATTATAGGCTTAGCTCAGAGATTAAGTTATTTGTCCAGGTGAGGTCTAGTGTGACAATTTAGAAGTAGTGGTAAATTTGTGATTTGAATAACAACTGTTTGTTTACTCTTAATGTGATTAATTTGTAAATACTTCAGGAACTTTAGGGCGCCTGGGTGGCTCAGTCGCTAAGCGTCTGCTTTTGGCTCCTAAGCGTCTGCCTTTGGCTCAGGTCATGATCCCAGTGTCCTTGGATCGAGCCCTGCATGGGGCCCCCTGCTCCGCAAGGAAGCCTGCTTCTCACTCTCCCACTCCCCCTGCTTGTGTTCCCTCTCTCGCTGTGTCTCTCTCTCTCTGTCAAAATAAATAAATAAAATCTTAAAAAAAAAAAAAAACAACTCAGGAACGTTAGCCTCAAAGTCTATCTCTTGCTGTTACTTCTGCCAGGAATATTCTTCTATGTTTCCACTATATTTCTTATGATGATTCTTCTAATCCTTCAGATTTTAGCTTTAAATGTCATCTCATCAGAGAAGTCTTCTCTGTTCATCCTATCTAAAATACTGTCACTTTCTTGGGACACCTGGGTGGCTCAGTCAGCTAAGCAACTGCCTTCAGCTCAGGTCATGATCCCAGAGTCCTGAGATCTAGTCCCACATGGGGCTCTCTGCTCAGTGAGGAGTCTGCTTCTCCCTCTACTCTTCCCCCTGCTCCTGCTTTCTCTCGCTATCTCTCTCTCTCTCTCTCTCAAATGAATAAAGAAATAAAATCTTAAAATACTGCCACTTTCTTATCCTCTAATTCAACATATTATTTTTCTTTATCCTTCTTACATTGTTTGTTACATTATTTTATGTGTTTATTTACTTTTTAAAAAAATTTTCTGACTCCCCCACAGGCTCCATGAATGTTGGGAGCTTGTATTTTCTTCACCACTGTTTTCACAATACTTATCTATGTCTTTGGGACATAGTAGGTACTTAGTGCATATTGAATCAGTGAATGAAAGGATATTCTAAGACAGGAGGCCTAAGAAAATGTTATTCTACTCTAAACCTCTACATTCTTTGAAACCCAAAGAAAATAAATAATTACCATTCCTGTTATGACATGATGAGGTAATTTCTAGGTTGTGTAATTTGTTCCCTTATATTAACACTTTTGATCTTGTTAAAGCTAATTCCATTAAGACAGTCCTCTACCCAAGTGATACATAGTTTTCAAACTTTCAAAAGAAATGATTTTCTAGCTGTTCACAAATGATCAGTCTTCAGTTATTTTACGGTAAAGATTTATAAAGAAAGTATAGAAGCATGATCTTTTAATATATTAAAATGACACTTGGTCTCAACTGTATTAACTTAGAGCAGTAATAAATTTTCATAACAGTGAGTAAAGGTTTGGTTCATAATTTTCCATGTGTTACATTATAAGTAAAATTGTTCAATGGATATTCTTTTCAGATTGCCTTTTTCCCATTTTAAATCCTGCCTATAGGAGAAATTTAGCCTTGTGTACCTCACAGTTTAAAGCTTCTGATTTTTTTCTGATTTTTTCTTTCACATTTTTTCTTTCATTTCTTACATCTGTCTAAGCA